TAGCTCAGTGGTTAGGGCACCAGCCACATATACTGAGGCTGGCAAGTTCAAACCCAGCCCAGGCCTGATGAAAAATGATGACAACTACAACAAAAAAACAGCCGGGCGTTGTGGTGGGCACCTGTATTCCCAGCTACTTGGGAGGCTGAGGCAAGAGAACCACATAAGCCCACGAGTTTGAGGTTGCTGTGAGCTGTGATGCTACGGCACTCTACCGAGGGTGACATAGTAAAACTCTTGTCTCAAAAAAACAAAAAAGCACTTGATAAATGGTAACTGTTCTGTTATTAGTTTGAATTACTTGAAAAACTTAAAGTAGCTTGTTTCTGGTTTTTATAAGTATATTGTTTTCATTTTAATGTAGTACATTTTAACCTACTAAAATATCCCTAAACTGTTTGTACACTGTTTGCTTCAACTGTTCGCCACACCTCCCGGGCAGGTAAACTGGACAGAACTTAGTTGAGCAGTGAAGTTACCCTGGTGTGGAATATAGGAATCCTGTGGGATCCTGACCACATCAAAAAGTTAAATGGAGAGTGTCTGGGTTTTAGGTTGTCTTCCAGTTCTCCATAGTGATCCCTCTCTCTGTCAGAACTTTTGGTACTTTGAACAGTCACTGCCCAGAATTTCAATGGATTGGATCCCGCAGGTAGAAATAAGAGTGAGGATTGCATGTATTTGGCTTTCTTCCTTTCCCTCCCCCTGCTTCTCTTTCACCATTATCGTCATTAATTTCTGCACTTTTTTTGTATCAGGCACTGTCCTGTTTATTGTATACAGTTTGCCAATTAAGAAGTATAGAATTTCAGATTTGTAAGACTGTAAAACACACACTTAATAAGCAACAAATCTGGGTCTCAAACCCAGGTCTCTCTCCCTCTAAAAAGCAGACAGTGAGTTGGCATAGGGTTGGAAAACCCATCTCCTTTCTAGGGTGTGACCGTGGTTAAGTGACATCAACCATCAACCTTAGATGCACGAGTTCCTTCATTCCCAATCTCCCTGGAATCGCAGTGATCCCTCGCTATCAGGATGGCTGTAAAGATTAAAGAAGATGCTAGACACCCCTAAACCATCAGACCAACGTCACCACGCCAGGCATATTGATTTTGGTTCCCTCTTTCCTTCCCGTCACAGAAATTTCAGGAATTGTCCAGGCTCTGGCCCATACTACAAGGGTCATTGCAAAGTAGCCACGTCCCTAGAAAACTACACGATCTGATTTTCGCTTTAGCCTTAGCTGCCATTTACTGGATGCCAATTTTATGCTAGGTACTTTCCCATGTTTCATAATGCATATAGAGTTTCAGTCTTCATCACAAGCTTTTCTAGTAATTATTAGAAGAAACTGAGACTCAGAGAGGTTAAATTATTTCCTCAGGACAGCACCCACAGTGCACCCAATGACCCGGCACCCTGTGTCTCTGCAGGACGCTGTGTCTGCTCTGTTGGAACAGACAGCAGTGGAGCTGGAGAAGAGGCAAGAGGGGAGGAGCAGCACGCAGACGCTGGGAGACAGCTGGTAAGTGAGATGCCCTTGGGCACAGGAGCTGCCCTGTACTGGACCAAGGCTTAGGGCTGAGTTCCCAAACACCAGGGCAACCAAGAGAAGAGTCCCCCTGAGAAAACTGAGAACCTCTTTCCGATGGGTTTTCTACTGGCAACAGGGCAAAGGTACAGTAGTTTCCAAAATCCCTTCCCAGTTTGTTACTTTGAGTCCCATGACTCATGCACGCTAGTTCACACCTAATGTTATTTTTTATCTTGATACAAAAGTTTAATATTACTATAAGTAGAAAACTTGTATAATTTTCCATAAATTAAAGAGTCCTCAGTAAGAAATTGCATTGATATCTAGAAACAGACCGCAGAAATATGAGGCATAAATACAATAGAAGTTTATTTCTTCCTTACTTAAAAAGAAGAATGGAGCAAGGCACAGTGATGCATGAATGTAATCCCAGCTCTTTGGGAGGCTGAGTTGGGAAGATCACTTGAGCCCAGGAGTTTGAGACCAGTCTGGCCAACATAGTGAGACCCTTTCTCAAAAATTTTTTTGAAAAGAATGGAAGGAAACAATCAAAGACAGTGCAACTCTGTCAATGCCATGGTGTCACTAGGAACTCAGGCTCCTTCTCTGTCTGCTTTGTGCCTTTACTGTGTGACCTTAGTCACCGAGGCTGCTTTATAGCCCGGATGGCTGCTGGATTGTTAGCCCACAGGTAGGTTTCAATCAGGAAAGAGGTGACACAGAAGAGAGAGCCTGTCTACCTTTAAACCAAGGAGTAGCCCTGAAGGCCCCACACAGCAACTTCTGCCTGCCTCTCACTTACTTACCCTACCTAACCACAAGGGACTGGGGAATGGCATCTGTTAGTTGAGTACAAAAATCAAGTTTCTGTTATGAAGGAAAAAAGTGGACATGGATATTGGGTAAGTCATGAGCTAAGTCTGCCACGGAAAGTAACTGCAGAAAACTCAACATAATGAAAATAAAGCAATATTGGCTTGGCGCCTGTGGCTCAAGTGGCTAAGGTGCCAGCCACATACACCTAAGGTGGTGGGTTCGAATCCAGCCAGGGCCTGCCACACAACAATGATGGCTGCAACCAAAAAAATAGCCAAAGCATTGTCGTTGGCGCCTGTGGTCTCAGCTACTTGGGAGGCTGAGGCAGGAGACTCGCTTGAGCCCAGGACTTGGAGGTTGCTGTGAGTGGTGATGCCACAGCACTCTAACCAGAGGGATGGCCTGAGGCTCTGTCTCAAAAAAGAAAAGAAAGCAATATTATTAAAGTCTAGCTAGCTAGACTAAAGCTTGAGGTCTTCTCTCTCCAGTTATTAAAAAGGAAGGTTAGCAAGTGCTTCAGCAATTTTAAAGTCCTGCTACTGCCAGAGAAAGACTTTGTCCTTGACGTAACCAGAAGGTCTGAACAAGAAACCAAACAGGGATGCCTTTCTCCCTGCATGACTGAGTGCTGTTTAATTCCTTGTGTTAGGAGAAAGGTCTTATCACATGCTTTAAGCAACAATGACATGGAGTGGGGTTTGAATCCTGGCTTCTTCTAAAGCACCTTTTGAACTTTTTATTGCAGTATCATGTACCTACAGAAAAGTTCACCTAAGTGTACAGCTCCATGAATTTCCTAACTTCTCATGTAACTAGCATCAAAGCCAAGAAACCTAGCATCACCAGCACTACAGAAGCTCACACCTCGTTTGCTGTTAGGCAAGGCACTCTAACCTTGTCTGAGTCTCAAATGAAAACTGGGGAAATAATACCAACTCCATAGAGTTACTGGAAAATCCTAAAGGAAAAGATATTAATGATGATAAAGTACAAAGCGCACAGTGGATGCAAGGGGTGGAAGTTATTATTAGGAAAAAGAGAAGGAGCATTGCTAACGACTAGTGGAAAAAAAAAGTAAATCTTGTCTAATACATAGTCACAGCCTCTGAAACTCTCCATTTGGAAGGCAGTATAAGTTGGTCTTAAGTGCATATGCTTTAAATTCAGACAGGGATTCGAAATCCAGCTCTGCCAACTTCTGTGTCTGATCTGTAAGATGTTACTGAACATTAGGAAGTTTGGGAAGCTCCCTGGATCATTCCGACATGCAGCCTGGGCTAAGAACCACTGCTCTAAACTTCCGTTTCCTCATCTGTGAAACAGATTTTGAAATAACCACTATGTCGTAGGATACTTTGCAGATTCAGTAAAATTATGCAAGGCCAGGCACAGTGGCTCACACCTGTAATCCCAGCACTCTGGGAGGCTGAGCCAGGTAGATCACCTGAACTCACGAGCTCAAGACCAACCTGAGCCAGAGTGAGACCCCCGTCTCTAAAAATAGCCGGGCCTTGTGGCGGACGCCTATAGTCCCAGCTACCTGGGAAGCTGAGACAAGAGAATCACTTGAGCCCAAGAGTCTGAGGTTGCTGTGAGCTATGACACAGCACTCTACCAAAGGCAACAAAATGGGACTCCATCTCAAAAAAATAAAAATAAAAAAATACAATTATGCGTGTTGGCACATAAAAAATGTTTTTTTAATTATGAGTGATAAGCACTTAGCACAGACCCTGACCCAGAGGAAGCATTCATTATCTCCTCTGCATTATTTTATGATAGCCCTAAATTATATGTTTGATCTTAGAAGCCACCCCCTCTAGCAAACAATTTGTGGAAAGGGCCCCATGGTAAATGCTTTGTGGACCATGAGAATTCTGCCACGTCTAACTTACCTCTGCTGTTGTGATGGGAAGATGGCCACAGACAACATGTAAACCAGCTAGTGTCTGTGTTCCTTTGATGCTTCATTTATAGACACTGAAATTTGCATTTTATATAATTTGCATGCAACATCATGAAATATTCTCTTTTTGATTTTTCAGCCATTTAAAAATATAAAGACTGTTACCAGCTTGGAGTGTCTTAACACAAAGCAGAGGGCTGGATTTGGTGTATGAGCTTTCGTTTACCAGATCTTTGTTTTACTCTTCTCCCTTACTGTTTTTTCATGCAATCCAGAGTGTGCCAGCATTCCTGGAATTTTTGTATGTTCCTTTGTTTTACAGTTCTCTCTAAATTGTCTCAGTTTCTCTCTCTCTCCCTCTCTCTCTCTCTTTCTCTCTCTTTCTCTCCCCTCTCTCTCTCTCTCCTTCTCTCTCCTCTTCCTCTCTCAGGCACACTGCTATACCACACTGTAGGATGCATCACACAGGCAAAGGTCGGATGCCAGAAATAGGCCCAGGACCAAGCTCCCCAAACTCTGGCAGGAGATCAGTGGCTTCCACCAAATTCCAAGCTAGTGCTGAGACTTTTCAAGCCGTCTCCTAGCAACTGTCTTCTGTTCCTTCTCCCTTTGTGGCCCCCTGTCTCCCCACCCCCTGCCATTCAAACTTCCCCAGACGCTGACTTACAAAGAGCGCTGGGATCCCCGGGAGCTGCTGTAGTGGGGTGAATCCATCTGTAGCCCCTCCCCCAAGACTGGAGGCTGCTTCTGGTCCTGGGCTGTTCGCTGGCCTTGCTGGGCCTGCTCACTCTGGAGTGTGGAGGGCCCCAAAAGACCGGCCTTCTGTTCTCATTTGCAGTCCTCCTTTAGAACCTAAGGCCCGCACGCCACCGTATTCCCTCTTTGTATTTGCTTAGGTGTCCTTAGTGTATATAATCAGAAGGCTGGATTTTCTTTTTTAAGATCCACAAGCAAAACAAAGCTAAGAGTATTAGAAAATGTAGGAGAATATAATCACAAACAATGCTAGAGGGAACAATCCTTGTGTTTGCTTCCCTGGGAACTTTTGTATGTTTGTCTAGGACAGATGTTGAGAAGTGGCATGGCTAAGTCCCGGGGCTTGTGTGTTTTACATTTTAATAGACGCTGTTGTGGAGTAGTTCTCAAATAATATTTTTTAACAAAATGCTCCCACCAGCAATGATTAAGAGTACCCTTAACCTACACCCTTTCTAATCTACACGCCATATAATCAAACTGCTGTACTTAAGAATATGTACATTTTTTATTGTAACAGATAAGGCTAAATTGCCTTTGGGGTATAAATCAGCTGCTGTGATTTATGCTCAGGGATGTGCTTGTCTCCTACCTTTATAAGTACTGGGTATCATCTGGGATTTTTTGTTTGTTTGTTTTGCTTTGCTTTGTTTTGTTTTGTTTTTGCCATTCTAGTGAGTGGGATGATATTGTCTATTTTAATTATGTTTCTCTTTATAAGTGAGACTAAGTGGCCTTTTTTTCCTATCCTGGAATATTTAGGTCAGATTCACAGTCAAATAGAAGCGACTTCCATAGTAGTTAAGCGTTACGTGGAGCTGGACAAACTGGGCCCTTCCATAGGACAAAGGCCTGCCTGACCTCTGCTCTTCAGTTTTCGAATCTGTAAAATGGAGGCGATCTCTCTCTCTGCACTATTATAAGGATGTAGTATAGAGCCTGGAGTTCATTCAGCCTCTAATGAATGCTGTTCAATGTGGCTTCTGCAGAGCTCTCTGCCCAAGAGCTCCCTGTGTTTCAAGGCTCTCTCTCTTTTTTTTTTTTTTTTTTTTTTTTTTTTTTGACACAGAATCTCACTGTCGCCCTCTGTAGAGTTCTATGACGTCACAGCTCACAGCAACTTCCAACTCATGGGCTTAAGCGATTCTTTTGCCTTAGCCTCCCAAGTAGCTGGGGCTACAGGCGCCCACCACAACACCTGGCTATTTTTTTGTTGCAGTTGTTTTAGCTAGTTCTGGCCGAGTTTGAACCCGCCACCCTCGGTGTATGTGGCTGGCACTGTAACCACTGCTCTGGGTGCCGAGCCTCATGGCTTTTTTATTAGTAGAGAGGGAGGGTCCTGAGGCCGAGGAGGGAAAGCAGAGGCCCCTCCCTAGCCAGTGTCCTCATCCACAGGGGATGCTCCTGTTGGAGAGTTGGAGAGATCCAAGATTTATCTCCCCCGATGGGAAAATCCTTCGGAAGATTTTATGTTTATCCAAAGTTTCACCCAGCCAGCTAACTAGATGTCAGATTCTCTGCTTTTGGCTGGAATTCTTCCAGCTCAGTGTGATAACACTGTCTCATGCTGATCAGAAGCCTGGGCAGTTATGTATGTCTTTGAGAAGTCAAGATGGGACTAGAGATAAATGACTACTTAACACATGTAGTCCATTTGTCACACCAAATCCTTCCAACTCTGAAGTCCAAGGGAAAAGGATAGTTATAAATAATATTACCAAAAGTAAACTCTCTTCAACAAATGGTGCTGGAGCCATTGGATATCCATATGGGAAAAAAATAAACTTGGACACTTACTGCACATTACGTACAAAAGTTAATCTGAAATGGGTCACAGAGCTAAACATAAAAACTAAGACTATCAAACTTCTGAAAGAAAGCAGAAGAGAAATTCTTTGCCACTTCGGGGTAGGCAAAGATTTCTTAGGTAGGACATAAAAAACACCAACTATAAAAGAAAAAGTTAAATTGGACTTTATCACAAGCAGACACTCCTGTTCTTTGGAAGAATATGAAAAGGATAGCCAAGGACTAAGAGAATCTTTGCAATATGCATACTTGATAAAAAGGATGCCTATCCAGGCTCTAGCATGCTCTCCTACAACTCAATAATAAAAAGACAACCCAATTTTTTTTTTTTTTTGAGACAGAATCTCATTCTTTTGCCCCAGGCAAGAGTGCCATGGGGTCAGCCTAGTTCACAGCAAACTCAGACTCCTGGGCTCCAGCGATCCTCCTGCCTTGCCTCAGCCTCAGCCTCAGCCTCCTGAATAGCACTACAGGTGCCTGCCACCACATCCAGCTAACTTTTTCTATTTTTCATAGAGATGGGGTCTTGTCCTTGTTCAGGCTGGTCTCAAATTCCTGAGCTCAAGGGATCATCTTGCCTTGGACTCCCAGAGGTGGCTCTCTAGGGCTATAGGTGTAAGCCACCATGCCTGGCCAAGACAACCCAATTTTTGAGATGCTGAAGATTCTAACCAACCCTTCACAATAGAAAATAGTCAGTAAATTCATGAAGAATTTCTCAACAAGAAAATGAAAATTATGGAACACAATGACTCATGCCTATAATTCTAACACTTTGGAAGGCCAGTGAGGGAGGATCACTTGAGCCCAGGAGTTTGAGACCAGCCTGAAGAACATAGAGACCCTCATCTCTACAAAAAATAAAAACTAACTGGGTGTGATGACACGCACCTGTACCCCTAGCAGCTCTGAGGGCTGAGGCAGAAGGATCACTTAAGCCCAGAAGTTTGGAGTTGCACTGCATTCCAGCCTAGGTGACAGACTGAGACCCTGCCTATAAAAAATTTTAAAAGGGAGGGGTTGTGGTGGGCACCTGTAGTCTCAGCTACTCAGGAGGCTGAGGCAAGAGAATTGCCTAAACTCAGGAGTTGGAGGTTGCTGTGAGCTGTGACATCACAGCACTCTACCGAGGGCGATAAAGTGAGATTCTGTCTCTAAAAATAAATTTAAAAAATAAAATAATAATAACAAAAAAAAGGGGAGTGCCCAGGCACAGTGGCACACCCCTATAATGCTAGCACTCTGGGAGGCCAAGGCGGGTGGATTGCCTGAGCCCAAAAGTTCCAGACCAGCCTGAGCCACAGTGAGACCCTGTCTCTAAAAATAGCCAGGTGCTGTGATGGGCACCTGCAGTCCCAGCTACTTGGGAGGCTGAGGCAAGAAAATTGCTTAGGCCCAAGAGTTTGAGGTTGCTGTGAGCTGTGATGCCCCATTACTCTACTGAGGGTGAAAGGGAAACTGTCTCAAAACAACAAAAAAAAAGGGAGAGAGGGAGAATGGGAGGAAAGAAGGTGGGGAAAAAAGAAAATGCAAATCAAAGCCACAATAAGATACAAGTACACAGCCAGTAGAGTAACCAAGTATAAAGGGTGTCAATACCAAGTACACCTGAGGATCTGGGACTCTCACAGCATATAAAGGGTGTCAATACCAAGTACACCTGAGGATCTGGAACTCTCACAGCATATAAGGGGTGTCAATACCAAGTACACCTGAGGATCTGGGACTCTCACAGCATATAAAGGGTGTCAATACCAAGTACACCTGAGGATCTGGTACTCTCACAGCATTGCTGATGGGAACATAAAATGTCAAAATCACTTCGGAGAAGCAGTTGTTAGTTTCTTAAAAGGTACACTGATACTTACTGCATGACCCAGCAGTTATGCTCTTAATTATATTCTTCTGTTATGCACTGAATTGTGCCCTCCCCCTCCAAAATCCATATGTTGAAGCCCCAACCTCAGAATGTGACCACATTTGGAGACAGGTGATTAAGTTAATGTGAAGTCATTGACGTTACAGTGAGCCCTAATACAATCTGGCTGGTGTCTTTACAAGAAAAGGCAATGTGGACACACAGAGACACCAGGGGGTGTGTGGGCATAGAGGCCATGTGAGCACACAGCGAGAAGGCAGCAATCTGCTACCCAGGGTGAGAAGCCTCAGGGGAAACCAAATTGCTGGCACCTTGACCATGGACTCAGCCTCCAGAATTATGACAAATACATTTCTGTGGTTTAAGCTGCCCGGCCTGTGGTATTTTGTTTCAACAGCCCTAGCAAACATATATTATCCAAGAGAGATAAAAACCTGTATCTATACAAAACTTATACATCGTCCAGGTGCAGTGGCTCATGCCTAGAATCTTAGCACTCTGGGAGGCCCAAGTAGGTAGATCACTTGAGCTCAGGAGTCGAGACCAGACTGAGCAAGAGTGAGATCCCCATCTCTACTAAAAATAGAAAAAACTAGCCAGGCATCATGTAGTCCCAGCTCTTCAGGAGACTGAGGCAAGAGGATCATTGAAACCCAGGAGTTGGAGGTTGCTGTGAGCTATGATGCCATGGCACTCTAGCCTGGGGCAATGATATATCCATCTAAAGGAAAAAGGCGTGAGTTGCTGATGCATGCAGCAACATGGACGAACTGGCTGGGTGCAGTGGCTCACACCTGTAATCCTACCACTGAGAGGCTGAGGCAGGAGAATTTGAGCTCAGGAGTTTGACACCAACCTGAGCAAGAGAGAGACCCCTGTCTCTACTAAAAATAGAAAAAAATAGCCAAGCATGGTGGTGCATGCCTATAGTCCCACCTAATTGGGAGGCTGCAGCAGGATTGCTTGAGTTCAGGAATTTGAAGTTGCTGTGAGCTAGGCTTAGGCCATAGAGCAGAGTGACACTCTGTCTCAAAAAAAAAAAAAAAAAAAAAAGCCAAGCGAGGTGGTTCTGTAATGGTAGCACTATAGGAGGCCGAGGTGGGTGGATTGCCTGAGATCACACGTTCAAGACCAGCCAGAGCCAGAGCGAGACTTCATCTCTAAAAATACCCAGGCGTTCTGGCAGGCACCTGTCATCCCAGCTACTCAGGAGCCTAAAGCAAGTGAATTGCTTGAGCCCAAGAGTTTGAGGTTGCTGTGAGCCATGATGCTATGGCACTCAACCAAGGGCAACAAAGTAAGACTCTGTCTCAAAAAAACAAAACAAAAAAAGATATGGTGGCACAAAGAAGGCAGAGTGAAAAGAGTGTGTCCTATCTAATTCCCTTTACATGAAACTCTAGAAAAATCACATCTGATCTGTAATGACAGCTCATCAGTGGCTGCCTGGGAATTTGGGGGGGATAATGGAGTGTTCTGTATCTTGAGTACAGCAGTGGTCACACAGGTAGGTACATTGCTCAAAACTTATAAAACTATACCCTAAAAATGCATTTTGTGTGAATTATACCTCACTAAAATTATCGGTTTTTTTAAAAAAAGCCTGTCCTCCGTCAAGAAAAAGCTTAGAAGCCCTGCCCTGGCTGCACTTCAAGGCAGGTGGATAGAGGCAGAGTGGTTTCTGGCTGGGTAACCACAGCGCTTTGCCATCACAGGAGGTACGAGGAGGCCAGTGAGAATGAGGCAGCAGCTGAGGAGGGAGAGGAGGAAGAGGACGAAGAGGGAGAGGAGGATGGCTTCACAGAGAAAGCCTCACCTGATCTGGACGGGTACCCAGCATTAAAGGTAGGGAGGGCTGGGGTGTGGAAGACCTGCCATGGGGAAATCGCCTTCAGTCCTTGAGCCGAGGTGGTCAGACAAGGCTAGGAGGTAAGTCCTGTCCTCCAGCATCAGGGGACAAGCCCTTGGAATGGAGTGATGGGCACTAAGCTAGTACAGGAGTATCTCTGCCTGGACTTTGGGTCATCTTGGGGACAGTGCACCAGGAGAAGCTGACTTACCCCTGTCTTTTGCCCTCCTCTATTTTCTCTGGACAGAGCTCTAGCCTTGCAGTGAGATGGGTTTGGGTTCAAATCATGGCTCTGCTACTCCCGAGCTGTGTGCTCTTAGTCAGATGAGTTTATCCCTCTCCAGCCTCGATTTCCTCCTCTCTGACGTGGGCACAGTAATACGAATCTTGCAGATGGGTTGTGAGGCTTCTGAGAGAGTAATGTAGGTCTTCATCTGAGGGGTCCTGGCAAGTTCCTTGCCCCCCCTGCTTTGCTGCTGCACTGAGGTTACCTGTGAGAACAGGATTCACTCTCTGGATGTCCAGACCCAGGACTCCTGGAAGGAGAGCACTTGTGTGTGTAAGCAGGGCACTTGGGCTGGAGCTGCAAGGAGTGTGTTGCACAAGGTTCCTGGCTTCGGCGGGGCTGCGGGAGAACCTGGCTCCTTTTTTTTACTTTTTCACACCAAAGGGGCATCATTTTGTAATTTTTCCAGCTGGAGACTGGGGGGTGGCATCTTTTCTCAAAAATTACCCAAAACACTATTTAGGCTAACAAAGGTCCTGCATTTAGGAGTTTTTGTTTGTCTTTTTACTGGAGCTGGAGTCTTATGCATGCACAGTAGAAAATCTCATGGCCTAGTTTTTAAAACAAGATGTATTGGTTGTCTACATAGTTCTAAGAAAGCATCCAGGGCAGTGGAGACCTGGGTATGATTTGTCAATAGGTGGTTGGTACATAAATCTTGAGGGTGTGAAGTGTAAGATGTACGGTTCCTGGGGGACCCCTATTGACTTGAGTTTATTTGGGTACCGAATGTGCTCCCACTACACCTGACCATACGTGCCATGGAGGAACAGGGTTGGCCCTCCCAGCCTTTGGTCCTGTCCTGGCCGTGCACTGGGCTGTGTTAAGCTGGTAGGCTGGAGCTGAGTCTCTAGACGAAAGTCAAGATGACAGGAATGGGGATAGGCAGAATGGTCTCGGGTGGCTGCCTAAGACTCTGTGGGCACTGGCGGCCTCAAAGCTGTGACTTCTTCCTCAGGTGGACAAAGAGACCAACACCGAAACCACAGCCCCGTCCCCTACAGTGGTACGGCCCAAGGACCGACGGGTGGGTGCCCCATCTCCGGGGCCCTTCCTCCGAGGGAGCACCATCATCCGCTCTAAGACCTTCTCCCCTGGACCCCAGAGCCAGTACGTGTGCCGGGTAAGCAAGCACATGGCCCCTTCCTCCTTTCCCTGAAGTTACTAAGAGCCATGCATAGATCTGGGTACAAATCCAGATCACTGTCACATCATGGGGCTATCCATTGGCAACCTAATGACCAGGATCCTGAGTCTCCCTGGCTAGCATTCACAGATCCAATTCACAGGAATGTTTTAAATAAAAAATGGAAAGGGCGAGGCCTGGTGGCTCGTACCTGTAATCTTAGCACTGTGGGAGGCTGAGACTGGAAATCATTGGAGGTCCAGAGTTCAAGACCAGGCTGAGGCCAGGTGAGGAGACTTACACCTATAATCCTAGCAATCTGGGAGTCCAGGTCAGGTGGATCACTTGAGCTCAGGAGTTCAAGACTAGCCTGAGCAAGAGTGAGACCTCCATCTCTTTTAAAAATAGAAAAACTGGCTTGACGCCTGTGGCTCAACCGGCTAAGGCGCCAGCCACATACACCTGAGCTGGCGGGTTCGAATCCAGCCCGGACCCGCCAAACAACAATGACGGCTACAACCAAAAAATAGCCGGGCTTTCTGACAGGCGCCTGTAGTCCCAGCTACTTGGGAGGCTGAGGCAGGAGAATCGCTTGAGCCCAGGAGTTGGAGGTGGCTGTGAGCTGTGATGCCATGGCAGTCTACCCAGGGCAACAGCTTGAGGCTCTGTCTCAAAAAATAAAATGAAATAAAAGTAAAAATAGAAAAACCAGCCAGGTGTTGCAGCAGGCACCTGTTGTCCCAGCTCCTTGGCAGACTGAGGTAAGAGGATCACTTAAGCCCAGGAGTTTGAGGTTTCTGTGAACTATGACGCCACGGCATTCTACCCAGGGCAATAGAGTGAGACTCTGTCTCAGAAAAAAAAAAGAAAGAAAAGAAAAGATTATCCTGAGCAAGAGTGCTACCTCACCTCTACAAAAAATGGAAAAATTAACCAGGCTTGGTGGTGGGTGCTTGTAGACACAGCTACTCAGGAGACTGAGGCAAAAGGATCAGTTGAGCCCCAGAATTTGAGGTTGCTATGAACTATGATGATATCCCTGCACTCTAGCCTGGGAGACAGTGAGACTATGTCTCAAAAAAAATTTTTTTTTTTATAAAGGAAAAGACTTAGTACCCGCTCAATGTTATTATAAGTCCAACCAATTCACTTCCTCCTTGGTCACATTGTGTAGCCCTAACTGAGGTCCCCTAAGACAGTGCTGTCACATCTTTCCCACCCCAGGGTTGCAAAAGGGCAACAGGCATATCTTTTATTTCACTCAGGGTTTTTTTATTTTTTTAATTGAACTTGTAACATTTAAAATTTTTAAAGACAATTAAAAATAAAATTAAGATGGAGAAGTGTAACCTAAAATTCCAGCTCCTCTTGGAAAAAAGGACTGTTGGCATGAGACACACCTCACGTTCTCTCATGGCAACCACTGTCTGGTGCTGAGCAGTGCAGGCGGCTGCCCTTAGATGATGGGGGATGGGGCCTTTCCAGCACACTCTAGGCTCCACCTGGCCCCCTTTACCTGTCCCGGTTGCCCACCTGTTCTTTACAGACCTACAGTGGCCTTCATTTCTTCACCCCCTCACTTTGCTGTCCAGTTCTCCTGTCCCTTCCTAGGGTAGCCCATCTACCTTAATTCTACCATGCACAAGGGTCTGAGGACTTTGACAGTCTGGGGGGCCTTGCTGATTACTGGGGCTACAGGACTAGCTCCTGCTCCCACCTGTCCAAGGGATGACACAGATGAGAAATGAGTATGCCTTACCTGCATCCTGGGCTCAAGTGATCTGTCAATAACCTTCTTTCCCCTCCCCCATGTAGAACTATTAAAGAATAACTAGGGGCATAAACAGAAGCTTCCTGTGGCTGGTGTTCCAATAATTTGTCACAGAAGAGGAGGCTGGTAGGATCCATCCTATATCATCAGCCTGCCAAGTACCTGATTATTGTTATGGAGGGAGGGGATAGGAAAGGTTCAATGTCTGAGAATTCAGCTTTCAAGGCCCACAATTGCAAGAGTGAGTAGAGAAGTGCATTTCTTCATAACGTGAACATTTTACTAATTTACTGGCTACTTATCAAATTATTTCCCGTGAAAACATTCCCTGTAGTCACTCCCAGGACTAACATAAACCCCTCCTGCTTTTGTTAAACCTCTAGCTAATTATTTGAGCTTGTAAGCATTTGCAAAGATATTACAGGCGTAATGCATGTTGGCTGTCTTGCAAGGGGTACAGGGTTTCCTGAAGTCACTGAATGTGATGTTGGGGGATTCCTAAATCACAGGTGAAGGATCCTGCAGTTAAGCTAGCTCACAACTACAGAAGAGAAAAATCCAATCAGTGTTTCAAACATGAATAATTTGGCGGATTTAGAAAAGCCCTCAAGATAATGGATAAAATCCTCTGTTTTCTGCAAAATTACCGCCTTTATGAACGTGCAGTGGAAACCAAACACAAAGAGAAGAATGTCACTCATCAGGACAGTTACACCAAAAGAAATTAGTGTTTGATTCATGCTTTTTCTTTCAGGATTAGAATGCAGTTGTCATTTTGTTAGATGAAAGATATAAAATAGAGTAACTTTGTTGTTTGTTTGTTTGTTTTAGAGACAGTCTCATTTTGTCGCTCTCAGTAGAGTGCGGTGGCATCACAGCTCACAGCAGCCTCCAGCCCTTGGGCTTAGGCGATTCTCTTGCCTCAGTCTCCCAAGTAGCTGGGACTACAGGCGCCTACCACAGTGCTTGGCTATTTTTTTTT